AAGGAAATTCGCGCTGCTAAACTGGAAGAGTTCAAGTCTTACGTGGACAATGACGCTATCCGTCTGACTGACCGCCGTAAGCTTGGTCGCGATATCAATTTTCTTACCGGTCGCTGGGTTTTGACAGTGAAGGTGGACAAGAACGGATTCTTATCCCTTATTTGCACATCGGAATCAAAAATAATTTCTATGAAATTATCTGGATATATATATGAAAAGCTCACACTCCGCACGGCTCTCTTTTCAACATGGGATGCCACACTCCGTGCCGTCTGTCGTAACCCCACTTGCTCACGGAAGGAGACAATCCCAGGGCACGGCACGCCTTGCAGCACCTCTTTTTAAAAGAGGATGGAATTCTAGCCGTGACGGATTGTCAGCTATGTAGCAGGCTGTCGGGACTCGAGAGAACCACGTCTTCAACTCGAGAGAAGTCTCGAGAAGGAGGAAAGCCTCAATCACTCGCTCTGCAAAAACACTCCCGCCGAAAGTTCTGATCATGGAGTGTCTGGCGCCGTCATTGTCCAAGTAGAAGACAACTTGCGATCCTCTCAAGATCGGTGCCCAGATTTTCAGGCAAATCAAGAGAGGAATCAATTCCAGTTCGAAGATTGGATTCTCGCTGAAGCTCAACAGTTGGGCCATCAGCGAGCAAGGCACCGCCTCACCGAAGAACTCGCAGGCACTGCCCGCTGCATTCACAAGAACACCACCTACACCACCTGCTCCGTCTTCGGGATTGCAAGCCCCATCAGTGAAAACTATGACTGTCGTGATCATGTTCCTGTCCACCGACAGAGGTGCGCACTCGCAAACTCGCGAGTCCAGCCACTTCAAAGCCCACTGCAAGTCCTCTGTCAGGTCAGAATGGTTGCCACAGGCTTGTCTATGCAACGGCCTACGATACGCTGAGCACGATTAGACACTCTGCCGAAGGAGAAGCCTTCAAAAAAGACCATCCTACCTCGCAAGCGCTCTGCAGATTTAGAGTCCAAAGAACCTGCGCTCAAGATCTCCTGGATGTAATTATGAAGCTCTTCTTTCCTCTTCGCGGTATGCCCCACTCTCATCACGCGTTGTTGCACCTGAGAGAGGTCGACACACAAGCCCAGCATCTCGAAGGTAGTGTCGAAAGGAGCAGACTTTGAACCTGACTTCGCGAACCTAAAACCCAAGAGGTCAAACAAGCTCTCAACCGTCCACTGGGCATTAGCGCAGAGGTTCTTCGAAGAGATTACGCTGTAATCGTCAAAGTAAGCTGACCAAAACAACTTGAAAAGTTTCATGCCGATTCTCCACAAGGCAATGCTGATTCTAAGGAAGGCGGCCACGGAGCCCACGCCTCCGAAGGGCAAAGCATTCACCCCTAGGATTGCTGGAGAAGAATGACCCGGACGGTTCACGGCAATCCTGAGTCTTGCTCGGTCTTCCACACACACACACCAAATTGTTTATATAGCAGATTTTAGGTCGAACGTCCTACCGACACACTCCGGCAGGGGTCCATTGATGATGTCAAAGGCATGTGACATCATGGAAGCCAGCTTGTCGATGGTATGCAAACAAAATTTCTCAAGCAGGCCCACCGTAGCATTCAAGCCACAGCAAGAAAGATCATCGATCACCCGCAACTTGTTTTGCATAATTCCGAACCTCATGGCGATGACGACTCCCTCAGGCAAAGGGCCTTCGTCGAGCCACACCCAACCCTGATCGAGCTCCTTCTGGGTTTCATCCCACGTATCAGTCTCAAGCTGCTGATCACTTCTGCGAGCCAACTTTTCAAGCGTCGCTTTATTCAGCCCCTTGGACAGTATGCCCAAAGTGTCGACACTGAACTTAGGCCTGCGCGACTTGGGGACAAACTGGCCTGAAGTCGGGAGCCAGCCCGACAACCTGAAACCCCTGCAGATGTCATCTACCAGAGCACCGTCCTCGCACCCTGCCGCCTCCATCATTTCGCGAAGGAGTAAGCGTCTCTTACCTTTCAAGATGGGACGCAAATGCTCAGGGAGTTCGGCATGCAGCTTCTGCTCTTTATGCTTCAAGGATTCAGCTCGGCCTATCCAATATTTCAAAGCAGAAATCCGAAAGGACGCCAAGTCCGAGGCAGGCTCCTCGAAGTTAGCTTTCGCACAAGCAGAAACAACAGGCTCCACATGACAAGTCAATGACCTTGGATGCCCGGCAGCCACCGCCCTCTCGACGAAAACCTCCTCCGAACAAGGAAGCCCAACTTGCACAAGCTCTGCAAACTCGGGAGGATGGTCAAGTGAAATTCCCAAGATCCGCGGCTTCCGACGAGAAACACCATCAAGGAGGCACTGCACATTTCCCCACTGACAAACCTGCCTCGAGAAAACCCTAGCCCCTTTAGGCAGCTCGGCGAGGGCCTTGTCAAGTGAGGACGAAGACTGCACGGGAACAAGTTCAAGGAAGTCAAGCGTGTCATCAAACTCCCAGACAATCTGGGGCAACGCATTCCCCCGTGGCTGCAGGCCGAGCCGTCGACGCGCCGTCGACGCAATTGAAGGCTCCTTTAAGGCTTCAGCAAGTACACGGGGGCCGAAATCCAACTCAGGAGACGCCCGCACAACACAATGCAACAAGCGTTGAACTAAGAGCGGAGGGAAGAAAGGCTCATCAGCAGTGGCAAAGCTGACATGCTTCCTTTTTGAAATGACTGGGATCCACTTCTTATGGCGATGCGAACCATCGCAGCGGCCTTCGAGGGTGCGAAAAGCATCTTGAGTTGCCCAAAGCTTCATGAGCTTCGGTCGCGAGCCCCCATGAACACATGCATGAAATGAGACAACATGTCCCTCAACATGAAGCTTGACCGACTCAAAAAAGGAGGTCTCCCAAAACCTGCTGTTGGCGGGATTCTCAATCACAGTCAAAATGCCCAGATCTGCGGAGGCGCGGGCAAGGACGGCCAGTTGCTGGAACAACTGGTTTGCACGCTCCACGCATAACTTATCGCGCCCGGCCAAATTTGGAAGTCCATCGGGAAACTGAGCCGAGCGTAGCTGCGTCGGAAGTTTCAGGTTTTGATTCTCCAGAGTGGGGAATGTCTTCTCACGGACAAGGTTAGCAGTGCCGGACGGCGGCGAGATCAAAACACACGCCACATGAGTGTACTCGACTCGCAAGAAATCAAGCAAGGACTCAACCTGAAGAGGATCCGCCAAATCCATGACAACGACTGATTCACCACGACACCGCATCTTGGTCAGGCTTATTGCAAACGGCCTGAAGCCCATACCAGCTGCGGCTTTCGTAACTTCGGCTGAGCCTGACGAAATCTCAAGGAAGCACATGTCGCAGACCGGCTTGGGTACTTCACGCGGAACCTCGGCAGGAGGCTTTTCCACAGGCAAGGGCGGCCGAGGATTCCAAGAAACTACAAAGGGGCCTAAACCTAACGGCGCAACCGCAAAACCCAGAGGCTCGACGACAGCACGCATGTCCGAGGCCAAGTTTTCGCCCCCAAGCACAGAGTAGGCAATTAAGACAACCCGAGTTCCTTCCCACGCCCTTGTTTCATGGGGCACAGAAGGGTCCATGAGCAGAGTGGGCCCAGCGTCAATGGGAAGCAGCTTGCCTGTCAAAGAAGAATCACCCTCGGCTGCGATGAGACCCTCAGGGGACTGAACCCACAACTCGCCCCCTGAGAAGCGGGTTAATGGCACTATCAGATTGGGTCCTTCCCGATTTTGCGCGTCTCGATGAAGACCTGATTTGACATCAACATGCACAGCAAGAGAACTGTAGTGGAAGTTCGGGCAGACACGATGCACCAACTGGTTCAAAGCTTTGCACGTAATCGGAAAGTGGTTAGTGTTACGATGAACCCCTATAATCCCACCGTGTTTATAGACCCCAAAGCTGAAGCGGCTGCCCGGCCCACTTTGAGTCCTCCTCAAACTCTCCTTCGAGGCATCAGGGAGAAGTTTCACGAGGTCTATCGCTGATTCGGCAGTCAGACAGGCCGGATGCTCGAGCATGTAACGCGCAAGGGCTTCAGGGTCTCTAAAACGCGGCACAAGGGAAGGGGGACTAGAACCAGAACTATCAACCGGGTGAGAAAGGTGCGGCACCTCCAGCGCGACGCTGGGCAAGCCCACAGATTGAAGAGAGTGTTCACAAGGCACAGGCCCCGGCTCGACTCCCCTTGCATGCTGAGAGGCATCTTTCCTCTTAGCGACAGCCAACCTTTCCTTGAGAAAGGCTGACTTATTCAAGATTGATGGCACTGGAGGTACCGGCATGCTCGTCGCACCACCGCCCAACTCCTCACTGCCCAAACCCCCAGCGGCTGCTGCAGCGGAGACACAGTCCACACTGGCGGCGACCGCAACGACACTACTCACGGCATCAGGTGACTCCAAGAGTCACTCCTGTGACTTAGCCGCCCTGCATGACACCGCAGAGTGGCCAGGCTTGTCACTTTGCACAGATGTGAAGGCCTCTCTGGCACTTCCACAGGCCTCCCTTCACCTTTTCAGTCTTCAGGGAGCATCCACAAGCCAGATTAAAATCCCAGCACACATTCCCATCCTCTGTTCGGCACGTGAACCCTTTAAGTTCATCAGGCACGGTACGGCGAGTGCGTGCTTTTGCCTTGGCCTTTGCCTTTGCTTTTGCTTTGGCTTTGGCTGTCGCCTTGTCTGGCTCACCTGGTGTCTCCTCTGTCACTGAGACAGACGGTATCACAGCTGTGGCTTTCTGCATACGCAACAGGTATTGCTGCAATCTAACGTCATAAATCAATGCGCTGAACTTGGCATCCAAAGGCGAAACCCCCATGGAGTCAACCTTGAAAGGCGGAGAGGCCTCCCTCGCCAGAAGCAAGAAGAGCTCCTTGTCTGCCCTCATGCATTGGTTCAAGGTGACTACTGAATAGCCAGGCGGGGGGGTCATCGACAAACAGTCCAGCATTTTCTGAACCCATTTCTGATGGACCTCCCAAGAAATCATGTGGCAGCTATCGAAGGCTAGGCCACGTCGCATCATTGCCCACTGAAATCTCAAGGGATCGGAAACATCGCACGCAATCTGCGGCTCACCCTGGCCCACCTTAATGACGTTCTGCTCCACCTGAAGAAGTGAAAGTTTTAGACCAAACTTTAAGGTATTCCTTGATTCACCGGATCAATGCTTGGACTTTTCTCAGGCGGCACGCGGCAGTCTAAGGTGTCCTTGAGCCTAGTGTAGCGGAGTGAAACATACTGAATTATGCTCTAAAAAGGGGATACACAGGAAAATGAAATCCTTGTTACGCCCTCTTCGATTCAAGTCGTCTTGGCTTGACTCGAACACTGCTTTCATTTTTCTCAAGCTCCATTCAAGTATCACCATTTCCACATGCTCCATTGAGCTCATCAATAGACATATCTTTTCCATATCTTCTTCTTCTTCAGTGCTTGTCGTTGATGTAGTTGAAAGTCCTGTAAAGAAATCGTGTGAAACATTGGTCGTAGTTCATTTCCATTGGCTTCCATTGGCTACGTGCAACTACGCTCTCTCACTCTTTTTCGAACTCGCTGTTCGTCTCGAGGTTGCCATTGCAGCGGCTTTCGTGCCTTTTGGCAAAAATCAGCCTTCGTGGTGCTCGTTGTGCTCTTTCGTAGAGGCTATTGGATAAAGAATCCAATTCCCTTTTTTCGGCTCACCTCTTCTTGCATCTGTGAAACATTTTCATTCTTCTTCTCCTTTTGGTCCGGGGGACCTCTTCCAGCGGCTCCATTCGCCTCTTCTCTAGTGAAACTCATCTACGCTGGATTTATAGTGGCTCGGGCTCCACTTCAGCAATGTTTCGGATATCCTTCACTCCATATCTCGAATATCCTCTTTCGAGAACCTGCCCTTCTTCTCTGGGCTCTCGGTACTTTTCTTCTCCTTCTTTTCTTTCTTCTCTTTCTTCTCTTTCTTTTCTTTCTTTTCAACGTCCTTCTTTTCCTTCTTGTCTTTGGTCGGCATTTTCTTGACCTCCGGCTTCTTTACCGGCTCTTTCGGCAACTCAACGGGTGCCGTGAAAATACTTTGCTTCTGCTTTTTCTCCGTTTGCTCTTTTTCCTTTCTATCATCATCTTCAACATTGATCGTCTTTTCGCTTCCCCTTTGGTGCTTGCGGGGATAGCTCTCATTTCCCCATCGGGGATCTGGCGCTTTAGCCTTCTTGATCTCTTCATCCAGCTTTCTTTGGTCTTCATCCTGCTGGGTTCCATATCCTTGCAGTGGTTTCCCCTGCGGGGACGGATCATCATAGATCGTAGGCTTGTACCTTTGGTCTTGGTTGTCCCAGCAACGCTGGATTGTATGGTTGCCCCAGCCCGGGGCACTTTGACGCTTTCCTTTTTCGTTCACCACTATGTATCCTTTCTTCTCAGCGAAGCATAAGCGGCAAAACAAGAAACTATTGGCTCGTTTCTTTGTCTCATGGCTGAATAACTCAGCACCTACTCGCCTTGCCACTTCCAACATGTGGGGACATTCGAATTCTCGGTGGCTTTCGCTAAGGCAGTGGAAACAGCCTTTAACTCTTTCATCAGCACTGCTGTCTTTCGCACTTGCCGGGCTATCCATCTCTCTCCTTTTCGATGGTAGCAACCACCTTCTATTCACATTCTTCAGCTCTTCTCCTTTGCTTTCGGCATTCTTCTCTCTCTCTTGCTCCTTTTTCTTCAAGAAATCTGGTGCAACCTTTGCCTCTGGTCGCTTCGGTGGTTCTTTCGGCTCCGAGGGCTTATCTGTTCCTTTGACTCGCTTTGGTACTCCCTCGGTCGGAGCATTTTCAGCATCGCTAATGGATATCATACTAGCTGCCGGCGTTGTGGTACCGGACTTCCGCTTCATCATCATACGTAGCATCGCTTGCTGCGGCGTTTCCTTCTTCACTTCTTCTTGGAAAAGCTTTGCCTTTAAGTCTCTATCATTTTCTGTTGCTTCTTTCATCTGGCCAACGACATCTTTCAGCGCCGTTGCCACTTTCTGCGTACTATGCCATGTCTCGCGAATGGTCTTTCTGGCGTCAACTAGCCCTTCACCTTCCTTCGCAAGCTGCATAAGTCCTTGCTCTGCCTCAAACAGATCTTTTTCAGCTTCAGCTTTTCTCACCAATGCTGCATCCATCATGTTTTGGACGCTTGCCCGTTTGGATTCATTCTCTTCCAGATCACTCTCTGTCTTGTCGATAGTTTCTCTGAGCTCTATAGAGTACTCATCAAATAAAGCAGTCATCTTTTCCAGTCTAGTTGCATATCCTTGCGGGAGCTCATTTATTGGCTTCTCTAAAGTGATCATCGCTTCACGGATAACTTCCATCTTTTCCTCAAGGAGTAAAGATGCTATGGTTCCATCATCGATGTAGTAGTTGTCTCTCATCAGCTGTGCTATCGATACTAGGTTGAGGGGTTCATCCTGGAACGGCTCTTCCTCACCTTTTCCTTCAGCACTTTCTTCCGTGGGCTTCTCATCTTTCGCCCTCTCGGACTCTATCTCCATAGCTATGTCTCCTTTTTCTCCTTCAACTTTCTCAGCAGCATCTTTCTCAGTCTCCTTCACCTCTTCTTCGTCTTCGCTGCTTGAGCTACTTGGCTTTTCTTCCTTCTTCTTTTCATCTTCTCGCGGCTCTTCTACTTTCTCGGCTTCTTTTGCCTTCTCTACCTTCTCCTTCAGCTCTCGAAACTGATTTCTTCTTCTTGTCCTTGCGACTTCCTGCATCTCCAGGAGCGTGGCGGTGTTCTGCGTCATTTGCTCCTCCTGAGCATCTTCACCTTTCTTGTGCTCTTCTGTAATCAGCTCAGCTCTTTCTCTGAGCTTCTTTCGTAGCTCCTCTTTCTTCTTTTCAGCTTCTTCTTCTGGACTTTCTGCTACAGCTTTTTCTTTCTCTTTTTCATCCTTTTCTTCTTCTTCATCTTCGGTACTTTCTGAAGAACTTGAAGGATCACTACCCGCTTCATCGTCACAGGAGGCTTTCTCTTCGTCTTTCTTCTCTTCCTCCTTTTCAGGCGTAGCAATGCCTTCACGCTTCTTATTTTCTTCCTTCACCAGGTCCCTCAGCTTCTTGGGATCTATGAATTCTCATCCTTTATGGACTTCAGCCATCTGTTGCAGATATTGACTGCTTCTATGCTCTTGCACTGACTTGAGATCATATCCTTCAGGAACGCTTCATACTCTTCCAATGTCAACGTCCCGCTTGCGAACTCAAGTACAACCTTTCCTTGCTGAGGCTCGGACCCAACGGCCTCTTCCTTCTCTTCCACTTTCTTTTCCTCTTCACCACTCATCTCTTCCTTTTCTATCTTTCTTTTCCTTTTCTTTCTTCCTTCAACTTTTCTTGCCCACTTCTTGGCTACCTGGCCCTTGAGCAAAACAGCTGCGGATATCAGACTTCTGCACATCCATGTAATCATTCCTGCAGAAACCATGACACATACAGCATACCGGCTCGGTCCTCTTCCTTCAGCTTCATCAGCCATATCATCTTCACAAGCTTCACCGAGTCCAACAAGTACAGCCATTGTGACTGCTTGAATTATCCTTCTTATCCTTTCTTCATCAACTACAGATCCTCTTTGCGTTCTTCTCACTTCAGCTTCTCTTTGATCAACCGATTCAGCTTCATCTAGATAGTCACCAATATATCCTTTGATCAGCATATACTTTCGTATCTTGTCTCGGGTCAACGACTTTGTTCCTAGATCAGCTGGGTTGTCTTTTCCTTTGATAGCTTTGATCTTCAAGTTGTCTATCCGCTGTATCCATAGTAAGTCAACATCCAAATGTCTTGCCTTTCCAAGGCCTTTCCTCGCGATCAACTGTCTCGAACTGCTCGAGTCCGAATACAATACCATCTTCGGTTCCTTTCCAAGAACTCTTGCCAACAGACTTTGCAAGAATACAGCTTCTGACAATATTGAAGTAGCTGCAACTGTTTCAGCTTCACAGCTTGACAAGCTCACACACTTTTGTCTTTTGCTTTGAAAGTGTATCAAATTTCCGTTCAGCAAAATAGCTCCACATGATACGCTTTGTCTGCTTTCTCTGTCAGCGGCCCAATCTGAATCAGATATCACTTCCAATAGACTTTCTTGCTCATACGGATCTCTTCCTTTGTTCTCATCTCCTTGGTCGTTTCTGAAACTCTTTCCTGGGAAACTCTTCCGATGTACCAACGTAATGTCCGGAGTTCCCTTCAGATATTTCGCCACATGTCGTAGCAATTCCATATCACTGTTTGTAGGGCTTGCCAACTTTGTGCTCAACTTGTTCAGCACATACATCACATCAGGTCTTTCTGGTGCTAGATACACCAGTATCCCAACTCCTTTCCTGTACACATGATGCAATTCTGGTGTCAAGGGTTCCAGTCCATTCTTCTGTGCTTGAAAAGCTCTTCCATTGTCAGCTGGGCACGGAATTTTCTTTGCATAGGCTTCTTCCAAACCTAACACTTCAACTAATCCTTCAATGTACTTTGCATTCATTGTAATCTCCACGTTTCCGTCTTCTGTGGCTTGAAATCCTCTTTTCAAGAAACTCATCGTGCCTTCCTTTTCATCCATAGGCCCTTCGACCTTGATCTTCAATCCTTTTCCTTTCAGGAATTCAACAAGGCTATGAAATTCTTGTCTTGATGCATACAGCTCCATATCGTCAACATGAGATAACACTATCATGCCTTTTTCTCCATTCTCGGGTCTTTTGAAAAACAGCGCTGGCAGGCCATCATCGGACTTCAGTCCAAACTCCTCCAGGTATCCTTTCAGTTTTCC